AATTTTCGGGTCCTCACAACTTCATTCTAGATAGAAATAAGCTTATATTGTGATGATTCAAGCCCAAAAGTTTGCAAGGATGATGAGTTTCAAATGTGATTCGAGTCACTAGAAGAAGAAAACAAAGAAACTTGTTGAAAATGAAAGTCAGCTTGAATCCCTCCGAACAATCAGGCCAAAAATTGGAGGGATAGCTTGGAGGGATTTGAGTTAGAAAGTTTTGGCAAAACAAGGGACAAATCTGCCCAAAATTTGGAGGGATTGTTTGGAGGGATTCTGGTCAAAATTTGGGATTCAACTTGCGCAACTTGATCTCAACTCTGTTATTTCACTTCTTTTGAGGGACAAATTTGGAGACCTTTTAGCTGTAAAAGAGTGCATCAAGAACCATCTTTTTCTATATATACACATTTGTTTCGGGAATCAAAGGAGAGCTTGGAGAGGGGGAAGGAATACCACAAAAATGTAATTTCTTAGTTATTGAGTTTAGGTAGTATAGAATAGTTTAGTTTTAGTTAGTTCATCCTTTCTTGTTTATTAGTTAGATGAAGAATGCAAGGAGAGAATTCATGTGATAGGGTTACTCTAGCTTCCCAACTCTTTATCTTTTGTAATTAATTCTAAGTTTAATTATTATACAAGTTTGGATTTTATGTTTATTATGTCTTTCTAAAGTTTATGCATTGGATTTTGGTTGAACTTTCTATGATTGTATTGTGTTGATTTCTTGGCTATTTGATGATATTATATTGAGCAAATTATTTAACATTTTTGCTACTCTAATCATGATTAACTTGGTACAATTAGTTGTGATCATCTAAAGGTATTGTTTTTTCAATGACAATTGGGATTTAACACTAGTTCAAAAAGTGTTAAACCTAGAGAGTTCACTCACGATAATAGAGGTGTACCTTTGTGGCTTTTTGTGGTTTTGTTCTATGTAATTTTATAAAAGAAATGAACTTGTGACTAATTTCATAACCACAAGAGTAGGTATGCATTAGTTATGGATATAGTTGATTCACTATGAGAGTAGATTTAACATATATGAGGAAATTACGCCATAACTAGTCGAGGTAGTAGTATTTAATGACTGAAAAATTGCACTTGCATGAGTAGTTAGAGATACTATGACCTAATGATTTTTCATTTGCTATCTTCTTGCATAGTTTAGCTTATTTTATTTCCTTTAAATTGTTGATTATCTAAATAATAGGGGAGGTTTAGTATATCGGTAGTTGTCCATTCTTCTCTGTGGGTTTAATCCTTAATATCTTATACTCAATCTCGACTTGTGTACTTGCAGAAAATCACGTGTAAGGTATTTAGGATTTTATAAATGTAAAACTTGACTGTAGAATGAATTTAATTGTTTTATGCATACACCGCTCTTGTCAGGACACTTGTGTTTTGTTGAGTTTCTTCAAGTTTGTTAATTTTCCTTGTGTTGTTTATCATTGTTGTTATTTTGCTTAATTTAAGTTCTTGATTAGTTTAAATAATTGAGTAAGATAGAAGCCTTGGTAATTGGTAAGTGATTCTCATAGTATCCATCTTGATTCCTCCATACTACAATTAATGGCCTGTATACTTGCCGTTAATGAGGTTTTAGGTATAAATTTGGAGTGTAGGTTTAAACATCGTCATTACTCCTATAATATTTAGTGCCTCTATCATATTCACTCTAGACCTTGACCTTTTTTAGTCACTAAACCACTTTATGTCATACTAGTTTTGTTAAAAAAGACTTTCTTACCTCTCTTTTAACCTTTAACTCCTTGATACTTTAGTTGTTTTGCCTATTTTTCATCACTTACTGAAATTGCCAATAGATTACACAAATTTTATGTTGAAATGTTCCTCATGATAAGCAAAACATGAGACTAATGACAATTAACAATGAAGTTACCAATAGATCAGCAAAGTGGAAGCCAAAAACCTTGATTATATGTGCACTTTGCTCAGAAATAATCTCTCAACACATGAATTAGAACACATTTTTACTGCATCATATCGACATCAATGAACATGATTAAATGCTACAATGCCATAATATCATGCCATTAACAAAGAAATTCAGAAAATTATAACTGAAAGCTAAATGAGTTTCAAACTCAAAGTAAATTTCAATAACTAATTCTAAAAAACTGTACATCAAATGATTTCTTATATAACACTAGGTGTCCAGTGGTGTTCTGATGTTGGTTCTGAATTCTTTCCATCAAACTGTCTATTTTCATAATATTTCTTTTTTATTTCAATTGAGCTAAAAATTATGTCTAGAACTAAAGAGTTAGAGGTGCTAAAGGTTAGAAGGTGAAGCATTGAAAACACTTTTGTTAGTTGAATGCTAGATTTGGCATTTTGCTAAAAAAATTGAATATCATTAGCATTGGCAGTTTGCCTTGGGGTTTAAATTACCCAAAACAAATATTAGAGGCAAAAGTAAATTTAAAATTATATTAAAGTTAGTAGAAAATTAATTTTACACTACTGAACTTTTTTTTAATTCTTCCCAATCCTTCATGCCTCACTCCCCCAAATGCCGACCTAGGAATATTTGAACTCTGGATTTTTGTAGCTTGGAGGACTCTTATTTAAGATCCTTCCCTAACCACTATGTAATACCAATGATTTATAATTAGGTGTTCCATTTTTGTAACTATAGGATGAAGGATATTTTGGGCGTAAACGTACGTAACTAAGACAACATTTTACTAGTTGACAAGTATTTGTTTAACATAATTTAGTAGGTCTTTATGTGTTTATTTTAGTATGTTTTAAGAAGTTTTACATGTGTTTTAACTAGGGTTTTGCATGAATTTGTGAAATTAGGGTTTGCTGGGTGATGTTGCAAATTTCATGATTCATTTGTGGTCTACTCTTGCTTTGTAGCTACTTGAGATATGTGTATCATTTATAGAGAAATTTGAAGATGAATGGATGAAGTTAATGATGAATTGATGATGAGTTCCAATGATCACGAAGTTCAAAAGAGTTGGATAAAGCTAGTGCAAAGCAAAAATGAAATGACGAGCTAAAGGTGCAAAGTTACTGCAAGAGGGCCGACTACATTTTCTTGATGACTAGCTAAAGGACTGGTTATAATGATAATCAAACCAATGCCAATTGAACATTTGAACATTGCCAGCTGAGAAATGAACACTGCTGGTTATAAGGTCAACTACCATGTCGGTCAAATCTTTTGTTGAGTATTTCAAGGTTTACTATTCACTCAATTTCGTTCCTTTTGGCCATTCCAAAGTTTCATTATAAATATGGAAAGATAGGAACCCTTGAGGGACATAATTGAGAAGAGAAAAGAGAGGCAAAAAAAAAACCCTAAAGAGCTTTTCTTGCTCCTAACCCTAGCAACCTATCTCAAGAAGAAAACCCTAATCAACTTTGTTCAAGACTTGAAGAAGAGAAAAGCTAGCAACTCTTTTTGAGTTCGATTGAAACTCTAAAACAGTGGATCGAGACCAATAATTTTGCCTAGCAATTCTAGTGAAGTTGCTCCTGTTCTTTTTCCTTTTTGACTTGGTGATGAAAGAGCTCGGTTCTATCTATACTCTTATGTGTTCAAACAATATGTAAGGCTAAACCCTTTGTTTTTGAGGCTATATATGAATTTTGTTATGTGAACTGCTAAATTGATTCTAGTTCATATGTTGTGTTTATTGCCTGATAGCTCTTGAAACTGCTTTCATACTTGTGTCTGATTGATCAACAAGACAAGTTATCTTGGCTATTGTTAGTGATGGATGTAGCTAATAATATGCAGATCCAGATTTTTAAAATCTAAATATCTAATTCACGTGTTGTAGGAGAAGTATTTAGGCAGATAATTTGATAATTTCTTAGATCTTCAAGAACTTGTTCTAGTCCTTCAACTATGTTTACAGGCGGGATTAGATACGAGTAAGTTGTTCATTTGTGGTAACAATGTTCAACATAATTGAAAATTAATCCCTAACAAGTAATAAAAGTATAATATATTCAACAAGATCAATTCATGTTCATCTAAACAAGGGATTACAAAAACCCTAAGAACTTTGTTTTCTCTAATTTCTTGCTCAATTAATTAGATTTTTGTTAAGTTCAAACAATTTGTTATATGAGTGATTTATTATTTTTCTATTGAAGAATTTTTTATTATTTAGATAATAGAGTGAGTAAGTAATCGTGGTAATTATAATTGCTCCCTGTGGTTCAACCCTAATCTATTCTATGTTTTAATTTGACCTATATACTTGCCATCAAATGGAGTAATTGGGCTAAAATAATAGGACAATTGGGAATTTTAACTTGAAAACCTATCTCACGTCAAATTTTTTATGCTGTTTACGAGGACTGATTTAATATTAGGGCAAAAATTAGATTTATTAATCTAAATTTCTTTAATTTTAGTACAATTTATTGTTTTCAGTGCCAAATTTTAAATTTTTGTTGATTCTCTTATTTTTGGTATTTTGTAGTGCATGCACTGGAAGCTTCGAGTTGTAGTTCCATTTGATCCTGAGATTGAAAGAGCTGCAAGAAAAGCTAGGAAACTTGCACTACAACAAGCTAATCCAATGGAGGACAGCGAAGGAGAGACTTTGGTTGAGTAATCTAAATTTGAAGAAGTGGCAAAAAAGAGAGCAAATCGAATTTAACAAGTCTTGAAAGACTTTGCATTGCTAGATGTTTCTGGAGCTCAAACTAGCATTGCAAGAGTAGTATTGAATGTCATTAACTTTGAAATCAAGTCTTCCATGATTCAAATGATTCAACAAGAGCAATTTAGTGAAAATATGTGACACTATTAAATTTAATGGTGTAACTGATGATGCTATTAATCTAAAATTATTTCCTTTCTCTTTGCGAGCTAAGGCTAAGGCATGGTTAAACTCACATGCTTCTAATAATTTTGCTACTTGCACTAATTTGTCACGAGCATCTTTTAACAAGTATTTCCCATCTGGTAAAACTGCAAAATTACGCATAGATGTAACTAGTTTTCATCAACAGGAAGGTGAATTCTTATATGAAACTTGAGAGAGGTTTAAGGAGTTACAAAGAGAACGTCAACATCACAGAATTTTTGATTGGCTGTATAGTCCTAACTTTATCATTGACTTAGTGCACTGCCACCATCCCGATAGGATGTTTAGCTACTAGGTAAATCTCTTACACTGGAAAAAAGCAGGAAAACAAAAAAGAAAAAGGAGAAAGAAAAGAAGCTTGTATACTGTCTCAAGACATCAAAAACAAATGACACAAAACAGTACAGAACTAAAACTTAACTCGTAGAGCAAAAAGGAGATGGACACGGGGGCACCATAACTTCCACAATTCCGTCAAGCATCTGGCTCACCTTCCTCATTTTAGGCCTAAGCGATGGGTTTTCTTGGATACACCATATAGCAACCATCAGAAATCTCTTTAGCATCATTTTATCCTCTAAAGCCTCTAAATCATTGTCAACAAACTTATCCAATCTTCCTTCTTGAAAGCAATCCCAAGCCCAATCAGTCAAAATTGGATTTTCTCCTTCACCAATGTTCTCAATGTCCTCCACACATTTTCGGCAAGAAATGATCTCTAGTAACAAGACACCAAAACTATAAACATCGACCTTTGCATTGATTTGGTTGTTCCTGAACCATTCAGGCGCAACATACCCTTTTGTTCCACGGATACTAGTCATTGTTTGACTCTGACTAATCATCAAAAGTTTTGCCAATCCAAAGTCGGAAATCCGAGCATTGAAATACTCATCCAGAAGTACATTTTGAGGCTTTATATCACAATGGATGATCTGAGTTCTGCATTCTTCATGAAGGTATACGAGTCCTCTTGCAATCCCGATAGCAATTTGGGTTCTTAGGTTCCAGCTCGGTTTTGGATCATGTAACAGCAATCTTGCAAGAGTACCATGGCTCATATACTCATACACCAATAGACGATGTTGTCCTTCATCACAGAATCCAAGCAGACGGACTAAATTCTTGTGGTTAGTCTGACCAATTGTTTTCACTTCAGCTCGAAATTCCTTCTCAGCATCTTTAGCCACTCTGTCTAACTTCTTGACAGCAATAATACTGCCTTTGGAACTGATTTGTAACTCGCCTTTGTACACAATGCCAAATGATCCCCTACCCAACTCTTCCTTGAATCCATCGGTAGCTTCTGCAAGTTCTTTGTACGGAAAAATGTGCAAATTTATATCCTTAGCATCAGTGTTCAAATGAAATATTACCTTCTTTTTCTGGTATATGAGGTAAACACCCAAACAAGCTGCGGTAATGAATGTCAAGTTTACTAAGAAAGAGCTGCCAAGAAGGACAGATCCCACAAGTATCAAGGTGCCTCGGTCCTTTGACTTTGATTCTACCGGATAACCTTGAGGAACAATCGGATATGCTGGAGGAGCATCACTTTTGTGGTATTTGATGAAAGCTTTTGACTGAAGTCTATAGTCCACCCTCCCATTAATAAGTGGCAATTTCAACATCCAGCAACTGTTGACTCTAAAAATGGCAACTGCACATAAACAGTTCTGCAAGCAAGATAGCTTACAGATGGTTTCACTTGACGGACTTATTTGATAAAAGTCATTCATTGGCCAATCAGTGTCATTCATTACCTCAAAATCGTAAAGGTTTTCTACAGAGTCCCCCTCTACTCCACCACAGCTAACAAGAGAGTTTGCTTTGCAGTCACCATACATGTTGTTTGGATCACGCAGCACATAACCTTTTGGACACTTGCAAACTGGTCTTCCATTTTCGAGCATGCAGACGTTGTTATATCCACAAGCTATGACCCCCTTATACTTGATGGTGAGACATATATTATCTGGTACAGACCAAAGAATCGTCCAATTTGAATTGCTAGTTGAATTTCTTGGATGATAGTAATGCGTGAAGAGCCCGTCGAAATCTAACGTTGCCCTGTGATAATAATTTTCAGATCCTAGTCTTGAAGGACTCAGCTGTTCTGTTTGATTGTTCACTTTCCTTATATACATGGTGCCTCCACTATCGAAGATAACCTTGTAACCATCATTTGACCAATTTGCGGTATTTGGGTAATACACACCATCGTCACTGATTAGCACATTTCGGCTGGTAGTAAGCACTACAGCCCCTTGAAAATGGAGATAAAATCTTCCTTGAGAGAAGTTTGTTGCTGACTGTCGAGAAGACAGAGTACCATTGATTTCCAATTCTTGATTTGGCAGTATCGTATCAGCAGGATGTTTGAAGCTTTCCCATAGCCAGCTTTCATCACTCCCTTTGAGGATAAAATTGCCTGTGTCGTTCATGAAACCATGATCAACTTGATTAGGATTGACATCAGCACTCCAAAGTTGTAAGCCTTGAGGGTCACGGAACACGAGACCCGTTTGAGCATCAAGCGCCACAGTCGATCCACGAGGAACCGTGTTGGTTGGATTAGCATACCAAACTACAGTTTTGTCTGGTATGTTGTTATACCATATGGAAAACAAGTACAGATCCTTGTCCGGAATTTTCTGGAAACCAAATGCAAAATCGCCGGAAGGTGAAAGCCACGAATTGGATGTTTCACCGGCAGTCAAGCTCCTGCCCAAAGGCACAATACCATTATTTTGAGCCAAAGCAGAAATGAAGAAGAGAAATATGAAGAATATGAGTTGTATGCATAGGTTTGCCATTGCATGAGATAGTTTAGTCCTCGTCATTAAACCATATGTAGAGTAAATCATGATGTCCTTTGCTTTGAAGGTTCTTTAATTAATTAGTCAGCTCTGAAGGCTTTGGACTTCGGAGTCATTTTCCACATCCAACTATACAGCTGGAATACGGTGACTACCATTTTGAAATTGTCATGATGAGCTAGTGAATTAACACATTTTGAAATTGTCAATCAACAACATAAATCCAACGAAATACCAGCCTTTCAAATATGAAGTCAATCAATCGATACTAGCATGGTTTCTTTCGCACCCAGAAAATTTAGGAAACTTTTACACGCTAAGACATAGTCAACAAATGAAAGCTCTTGGTTTCTCCTCGACATTTCTACAATCAGAATAATATTCAGCACCATAAAATGCATATTAAAGAACAAAAAAGTACTATTATAGTTGCATCCAAGGAAATTAGTAACATGCAAGAAAAAGTTGCTCGTGTACTTGAGTAGTTAAAACTATATTATATATAATTAAAACAATGCCAGCATCAATTTTTTTTTAAGAAAGTTCTGTTAGAATATCTGTATAGCCCAATCTATAATATTCCACTGTATGGACCAATTACTACGTATAATATTATACTATATTCATGATACATTCCCTCACTAACTTAACAAGGTAAATAAGATATAGTTTCTCACTAACTTAGGGATAATTGCAGAAACCTCCCCTGAGGATTTTGACATTTGCACTAACCTCCCCTGTGGTTTAAAAAATTACACTGACCTCCCCTGAGTTTACTAATCCTTTGCAAATTCAGTCCAAACGATTAAAATATTATTTTAGGGAGTGAAATTAGAAGGTTTTACCAAATTTGTCCTTTGTACTACATGTCCAATGAATGACAAAGTACTACAAATCAATTAACAATTAATAAATTTTAAGGAGTATAGTTTATAAGCAAATATGCATTACCTATTTAAAGTACCGGCTCTTTATGAGTATTTTACTTTCAAACATTAATTTAATACAAATATTTACGCTCAAATACAGATTTGTATTTACTTTCAAACATTTAATTTTTATTAAATACAAAAACTACCAATCTCTCTTCCGTAAAAATATTAATATAACACTTTTTCAATTTTAGTTACAAACATTTATGTATTTAACATAAATTAAATGATTCAGAATAAAATGTCCATAAAGAACCAATACTTTACTCATGTAATGGATGATTGCCATAAAGAATTAATACTTTATGGGCTATTTCTTTTTTTTTAAAAAAATATTTAATTTATATTAAATAAATAACCTACCGATTTCCTTTTGCAAGAATATTACTATAACACTTTTTAAATTTTACTTACAAACATTGATATATTTATCATAAATTAAGTGTTTGATAGTAAAATACCCGTAAAAAGCCAGTACTTTAAATGAGTAATGTGTGTTTACCCATAAGGAACCGGTAACTATTTAAAGTACCGGTTCTTTACGGGTATTTTACTTTTAAACATTTAATTTAATACAAATATTTACGCTCAAATACAGATTTGTATTTACTTTCAAATATTTAATTTTTGTTAAATACAAAACCTACCAATCTCTCTTCCGTAAAAATATTAATATAACACTTTTTTAATTTTAGTTACAAATATTTATGTATTTAACATAAATTAAATGATTCATAATAAAATGCATATAAAAAGTGAATACTTTACTCATGTAATGGATGAAAACCATAAAAATTTAATACTTTATGGGCCATTTCTTTTTTTTTTTAAATATTTAATTTATATTAAATCAATAACCTACCGATTTCCTTTTTACAAGAATATTACTGTAACACTTTTTGAATTTTTCTTACAAATATTGATATATTTATCATAAATTAAATGTTTGAAAGTAAAATACCCGTAAAGAGCCGGTACTTTAAATAGGTAATGTGTATTTGCCTATAAACTATACTCTTTAAAGTTTATTAATTGTTAATTGATTTGTAGTACTTTGTCATTCATTGGACATGTAGTACAAAGGACAAATTTGGTAAAAACTTCTAATTTCACTCCCTAAAACAATATTTTAATCGTTTGGACTGAATTTGCAAAGGATTAGTAATCTCAGAGGAGGTCAATGTAACTTTTCAAACCACAGGAGAGGTCAGTGCAAATGTCAGAAGCCTCAGGGAGGTTTCTGGAATTATCCCACTAACTTAATAGAATAAATAATGATGTGAACTGATATGTATTGTTAGTTACAGAGTCCTAAGACAATTGAAAGAAGTAACTCATGTTCCTCATATGTAGACACTTTATCACGTCAATGCTCTGGCCTATCTTATCAGTAGACTTGACACATTGAGTTTGTTTTTGACTCTACGCGCATGATAAGAAAAGTTAAGACAAGGGCTCCTAGTCCTTTCACTAGCCTATGATAAAGTTTATTTTTTATCCATCAATTAGAACAACATAAGCCCCACGGATTTAGCCACATGGTAGCAGCGTTCCCTTGGAACCTTCAGGTCCCGGGTTCGAAACTGCGCTATGGGGACGCCTATGCACTTATCGTGCCTTGGTCGGGTTGGGGCGCCGGGCTCAGGCTGCAGGAGATTAGTCGGGTCCTGTAAGAATTGACCTGGATACCCTTGTGTCGAAAAAAAAAAAATTATTAGAACAACATAAGATAGACTTAGGGTGGAGGGAAACTAGGTGAGTTAGGCGAAGGAAAACTAGGTTCCATATTTAAGCACGCATGGATAAAATCAAGAACGATATGCAATCAGGAACGCCAATTGACATCTACATGATGGAGTAATTATGCTCATAAGTTATGCCTTAAATTTATTGTTTGTGATTTAAAAGTTTACATCAAGATTATACTCTTAATGTCTAACAAGTTGCATCAGACTTAATATTTAGAGAAAATGGCCTGTTTCATCCATTACATTTCGTAAAAATATTCTTTTCGTCCCTCACTTTCAAAATGAAGCAAATTTGTCCCTGACATTTAAAAATTAAACCTATTACATCCCTGAATCTAATTTTCAATCTGAATCAAACCATTCAATAATCCAATAATAAATTTCGGAAATAGAATTGATAGATCACTCGATCAATTTCATCATATTCACATGACATTTATTAAACCAAAAAAAAATTATAACATAAAAGGCCATTCTTTTCTTGGAATAGTAGAGTTTTTTTTTTTGGTAAATCTTTTCATACACCGTTAGTATATCCGCTTGCTAATCTAGATGTGTATCATAAATATAAAATTTGGTGTTTAAATTTAAATTGAAATGATATGGCGGTACATAAAACTATCAGTGTATACAATGATAATGTAGGAAAGATTAATCTTTCTTTTTTATGTTATAATTTTTTATTTTTTATTTTTTATTTTTGGGTTCATTAAATTTTACATGAATATCAAGTTGAGTTAACCAAGTGATCTACCAATTACACCCCCAAAATTTGTAATCAGGTTGATTGATGGTTTGATTCAGATTGAAATTTGGGTTCAGGAATGTAAGAACTTCAGTTTTTAAATGTCAATGACGAAATTGCTTCGTTTTAAAAGTGAGGGACGAAAAGAATATTTTTGTGAAATGTGAAGGATGAAACCGATCATTTTTCCTAATATTTAACATGTGGTATCAAAGTACGTATAAGTTTAATGTCTTAATGTCTAACATAACATGTGGTGTCAAAGTTTAGGCTTAATGTCTACCATGTGCTGTTGAATTTTATGACTTGTAAATCAATTAATGTCTGACATGTGGCATCAAATAATTGAATATTTGTATTTTTGCGGGATTAGTTATTTTCTACGAACCCCTGCATATTTTTGCCTTGTTTGTGGGTGGCAGCCATTTTGGACTCGGACTTTTGTCCACGTTTGGCTGCATGTCGGCCGGTTCTACACCCCTTTTTTTCTGGGAAGTAACCATTGGGGCCAGAAGGAGTGGTTCAAGTCTGGTCAACCCGAGTCCTTTTTGGCTTTTATACACTGGAATACAAGTAATGAACGGGACTTCGATAAGGAAAGCATTGGAGGGATATGGTGGGAAGGACATCAAGAGACTGAGGGACAAGCAAATTGACATGATTCCAAGAATCACATAAGCTTTTGCGATTCCAGGTGGAGGATTGGGCAATCTTAAAGATGCCTTCAACACGGGTGCCGGGGGAAGTGCTAAGAAGAATACTAAAAAAAAGGGCCAATTCATACATGCGAGAGCTCGAAAATTTTCATATTTTATTTAAAATTTAGTGCATTTTACACTTTATTTTCTTTTTATTATTGAGTGATTTATATGCCTAAATTGTCCCTTTAATAAATGAGTGAATCGATATACATGTTAGGAGAATTGTATCATTTACACCATAAAAGCATTAGTATTAGTTGAGATTTGGTGTGGTGGAAAATAAAAGGGAGGAAATACACGAAGTGACCTTGTATAACAAGTGTTAGTACACTTGTCTTTGCTTGCCAAGTTGCTGTATGTTTAAAAGAGAGTTACCAAGTTTCAAGTATTAATCACAAGACACATTAGCTCCTACCTACTTCCATAAGATGACCGAGAGCAATGTAAACTACTAGTACACTTGTCTTTGCCTCCATAGCTGTTGCACATTTAAGGAGAAGAGTCATCAAACTTCAACATCCTCCTCATGAAACATTAACTTCTATTACTTTCCATTAGAAACCAGGAGTATGATAGAGCCAAGAGATAGAGTAGCACTTGCCTTTTGTCTGCCATTAACAACCGAGAGACAGAGTGGAATGAAATCAAAATTCCTTCTCGTCCTTTGCCTGTTCAAAATCGAGTGAGACAACAAGGGAAACTAGGAACTCTTTTCTTTCTTCTACCATGAACACCAGCCAAGAAAACAAGGAAACTCTAGCCTGTTTAGTTAAGGAATCGAGAGAGAGGAAAGCTGAAATTTTCCAGTCCACAACGTGAAGAAATAAGAGGTAGTTAACTAAGCTTTCTTCAATTTCCTTCCACTTTCAGTTAGTAATGTTT